TGTGATAAGTGATTATGTTCACTCTGGCTCTGTAGGTTGTGGTAAGTCTGCTCATGAATAGTAAAGATGCTGCTGAAGTATTGAGTGTAGAAGTTAGATCTGCAGTTTCTAGCCAGGAATTGTGTGTGTGCTCAGTGGGGTGGTGCACATAAAAGGCATGCTATTTATTCCCCAGAAGAGAAACGCTCACATCTGTTGCTGAGCACTGAGCACAGACACAACTTGTGAGACTTCCACTTTTATCATTGAGAATACTATGCTGTAAGCACTTCACAAGGACAGGACTTTTCACGGGTGAGTCTTTAATATAAGTACTTTACCAAAACTGTTTAATCATGTTATATTGTGCAAGCTATGTTTTCTGATTTATGGTCATTTTTTATGGCATTTACCCAAAAGTAATTCCATTTACAAATGCAAAAGATTCATTATCTTAATAAAATCAAATTGTTGTATAGGTGATGGGTAACAATTAGTTTAATCTCTAACTAGATAATAGATTTACTTACTTGCCCTAGGCTTGGTTTAGAAAATAGACACATTCTTGAAGTTAAAACAAGTTGAGAAATGTTGATTTTAAATAGTTCTGTTCAAGTACTTACTACAGTGTATTCAGTGTCTGTTCCCCAAACTGTGTGCAAGTAATTTCTACTGTGTATTCTGTCTCTGTTCCCCAAATTGTGTGCAAGTACTTACTACTGTGTATTCAGTGTCTGTTCCCCAAACTGTGTGCAAGTACTTTCTACTGTGTATTCATTCTCTGTTCCCCAAATTGTGTGCAAGTACTTTCTACTGTGTATTCAGTCTCTGTTCCCCAAATTGTGTGCAAGCACTTACTACTGTGTATTCAGTGTCTGTTCCCCAAACTGTGTGCAAGTACTTTCTACTGTGTATTCATTCTCTGTTCCCCAAATTGTGTGCAAGTACTTACTACTGTGTATTCAGTGTTTTTTCCCCAAATTGTGTACAAGTACTTTACACAGTGTATTCTGTGTCTGTTCCCCAAACTGAATACACTGTAGAAAGTACTTGCACACAATTTGGGGAACAGACACTGAATACACTGTAGAAAGTACTTGCACACAGTGTCTGTTCCCCAAATTGTGTGCAAGTACTTTCTACAGTGTATTCGGTGTCTGTTCCCCAAATTGTGCGCAAGTACTTTCTACAGTGTATTCTGTATCTGTTCCCCAAATTGTGTGCAAGTACTTTCTACAATGTATTCAGTGTTTGTACCCCAAACTGTGTGCAAGTACTTTCTACAATGTATTCAATGTTTGTTCCCCAAAGTGTGTGCAAGTACTTTCTACAATGTATTCAATGTTTGTTCCCCAAAGTGTGTGCAAGTACTTTCTACAGTGTATTCTGTGTCTGTTCCCCAAACTGTTTAATCATTTTATAATGTGCAAGCTATGTTTTCTGATTTATGGTCATTTTTTTATGGTATTTACCCAAAAGTAATTCCATTTACAAATGCAAAAGATTCATTATCTTAATAAAATCAAATTGTTGTATAGGTGATGGGTAACAATTAGTTAAATCTCTCACTAGATAATAGATTTACTTACTTGCCCTAGGCTTAGTTTAGAAAATAGACACATTCTTGAATTTAAAACAAGAACAGAACTATTTAAAATCAACATTTCTCAACACGTACTTTCTACAGTGTATTCAGTGTCTGTTGACCAAATTGTGTGCAAGGACTTTCTACATTGTATTCAGTGTCTGTTCCCCAAATTATGTGCAAGTACGTTCTACATTGTATTCAGTGTCTGTTCCCCAAATTATGTGCAAGTACATTCTAGATTGTATTCAGTGTCTGTTCCCCAAATTATGTGCAAGTACGTTCTACAGTGTATTCAGTGTCTGTTCCCCAAATTATGTGCAAGTACGTTCTACATTGTATTCAGTGTCTGTTCCCCAAATTATGTGCAAGTACGTTCTACAGTGTATTCAGTGTCTGTTGCCCAAATTATGTGCAAGTACGTTCTACATTGTATTCAGTGTCTGTTCCCCAAATTATGTGCAAGTACGTTCTACAGTGTATTCAGTGTCTGTTCCCCAAATTATGTGCAAGTACGTTCTACATTGTATTCAGTGTCTGTTCCCCAAATTATGTGCAAGTACGTTCTACATTGTATTCAGTGTCTGTTCCCCAAATTATGTGCAAGTACGTTCTAGATTGTATTCAGTGTCTGTTCCCCAAATTATGTGCAAGTACGTTCTACAGTGTATTCAGTGTCTGTTCCCCAAATTATGTGCAAGTACGTTCTACATTGTATTCAGTGTCTGTTCCCCAAATTATGTGCAAGTACGTTCTACAGTGTATTCAGTGTCTGTTCCCCAAATTATGTGCAAGTACGTTCTACATTGTATTCAGTGTCTGTTCCCCCAGTTATGTGCAAGTACGTTCTACAGTGTATTCAGTGTCTGTTGACCAAATTGTGTGCAAGTACTTTCTACTGTGTATTCAGTGTCTGTTCCCCAAATTGTGTGCAAGTACTTTCTACTGTGTATTCAGTGTCTGTTCCCCAAATTGTGTGCAAGTATTTTCTACACTGTATTTACAGTGTCTGTTCCCCAAATTGTGTGCTAACACCTCAGACCAGCAACCTGGAAGATAGAAATAGGCAGTGTTATTGGCAAGGTGGTCTTTAAATGGTCACATATATCACAATCTTAGCGTGCAAATTGAGTATATGAATTTATAAGACCTGCCAGCAGCTTTATATTCTTCTCAGATGTTTCTAATTCACCTAATCTCTGCTTCATAAAACTTCAATTCTAATTAAATGTAATGGACTGTAAAGTCGCATTGTACCATGTGAAGACAAAGCAGAAGCACCATCTACGTACCTCCTACAGAAGATTTACAAAACTACATCTAAACCACAATGTGCAGAGATTTTGGGGCAGAGCTCTTTAGATACAATGTAATGGCTCATGTAGACAGCAATTAGCAAGTCAAATAGAGTAAGGTGCTACTTACTGTAGTTGCTGTGGTTTGCTTTTGAGTTGGTGCCATTTACCTTTACGTAGCTGTCCTGCATCAAGCCAGTTCTGAATTGTTTTAGGTTGCATTGAGTTGCTTTCTCAAATACATTGACTTGTATAGGGAAGAGAAGAAACAGAACTTCTGTAAATGGGCTTAGTTGTCTCAAAGGTGATTATGGAGGTGCAAATAGACCTTTTTATTGTCCTTAGCAGGGCTCTGGGTAACGGTGCTTGAAAATTACTAATAGGCTGTTACATTATATTAATGTATTGGGGTTGAAGTTGGTACATTGCCCAAATCTGTGCAAGACTTTAAAACGTGTCTGCACATCTTTTAATTAATATTGAATTGCATGTATAGGGAGTTGACTTGTGCTATAAAAACCGAGCTTATGGCAAGGAGTAACTGTAATGTTGTTGACTGATGGCTTGCAGGTTTTGCAGGTTTTGTGTCTGTACAGTTTCAGGGCACAGGAATGTTGTGTATATAATGAAAACAAATCCGCCATCCAATATATGAGCTCACTGTGCTATTCTGTTGTATTGCAATGTATCTGTATATAGCTGGTCTTGGCACTAGAAGAGCATGGTAATATTACAATACAAACAGATAAGATCATATTTATGTTAGTACATGTTACTATATGCATACACAGGATGCAACCACTGAAAATTGCAATTGACCTTATTCTGTCTTTTAACCTACCTCACAGTGATTTTAAATTACTCAAGCATCATCGAGTCCATAGGCAAGGCTGTGAGCAAAGATATGGGCAGTAAAATAGTGCTTTGTCTGTTGGGGTAGCTGTGGACTACCTGATCCCCTATCTAATCCAAAAAGTGTAATACAACCAAGGATTAGGCAATTTAGAGTAGAAAGAGGGTGTGATAAGCTATTTCAATACTCAAAGCATTGGGTATCAGACTTTCTTAAACAAACAATCATTTTTACTGCTAAACTTCAGGCAAACGGCTAAATACAGAAGTGAAATGCATACATGGGAGCTGTTTCTCCCCTCCTCAGTATGCTGCGCAGGGACGGACTGATAACTCATGGGGCCCCCGGGCAATAGGGGATCATGGGGCCCCTGTGTCCTTTCCCACACTCAAAGCACACCCCAAAAAAGCCTATAAAAATCATGGGGCATTTCATGGGGCCCCCTACTGACCCTGGGCCCTCGGGTAGTGCCCGAGTGTTCGAATGGTTAGTCTGCCCCTGAACGTAAGTAGTAGTAAAGTCACGTTTTAGAATTTTACCTACATGTAAGCTTATAATAAAACTCACCTGTAGGTAAAATAAATATCTCCTAAACATTCACTGATTAGGAGATGCTCTACAGAGCAGCAGCCGGTGACAATACTAGCGCATACGCTCTAAAGCAGCGGTTCTCAACCTGGGGGTCGCGACCCCTTTGGGGGTCGAACGACACTTTCCCAGGGGTCGCCTAAGACCATCGGAAAACAATTATTTCCGATGGCCTTAGGAACCGAGACACCGCTCCTTGATCCGTCTGCAGGTGTGGGCGGGATGACATGCCGTCCCTGTCATCTGGACACACCCCCGGGATCAATCCTTCCTCGTCGGTGATTGGCCACCGGAACTGTAGCTCAAGAGAGGCACACAGGCGGCCAATCACCGGCGAGGAGGTGGAGCTTGGAAAGGAGGAGCCGAGCGGCACCGCGAAGCACGAGCGAGTGAAGAGGAGGAAAGCGGCCGGAGAAGGAAGCCATCTGACCGGTAAGTGTTTGTACCATGGGAGAGGGAGGGAGCGAGCGAGCCCAGGCTGGAGCAGGGGTCAGCAAGGTAAGTATCATTGGTGTCAGTGGGAGGAATAGTGCCCAATCATTGGTGTCACTATTACCAATGATGGGGCACTATTCCTCCCCCCACTGACACCAACGATGGGGCACTATTCCTCCCACTGACACCAACGATGGGGCACTATTCCTCCCACTGACACCAACGATGGGGCACTATTCCTCCCACTGACACCAATGTTGGGGCACTATTGCTCCCCCTGATGCCAACGATGGGGCACTATTCCTCCCACTGACACCAATGATGGGGGCACTATTCCTCCCACTGACACCAATGATGGGGCACTATTCCTCCCACTGACACCAATGATGGCGCCGTATTCCCCCCACTGACACCAATGATGGGGCACTATTCCTCCCACTGACACCAGTGATGGGGCACTATTCCTCCCACTGACACCAATGATGGGGCACTTTTCCTCCCACTGACACCAGTGATGGGACACTATTCCTCCCACTGACACCAGTGATGGGGCACTATTCCTCCCACTGACACCAATGATGGGGCACTATTCCCCCCACTGACACCAATGATGGGGCACTATTCCCCCCACTGACACCAATGATGGGGCACTATTCCCCCCACTGACACCTATGATGGGGCACTATTCCTCCCATTGACACCAACGATGGGGCACTATTCCTCCCCCCACTGACACCAACGATGGGGCACTATTCCTCCCACTGACACCAATGATGGGGCACTATTCCTCCCACTGACACCAACGATGGTGTCAGTGGGAGGAATAGTGCCCCATCGTTGGTGTCAGTGGGAGGAATAGTGCCCCAACGATGGGGCACTATTCCTCCCACTGACACCAACGATGGGGCACTATTCCTCCCACTGACACCAACAATGGGGCACTATTCCTCCCACTGACACCAACGATGGGGCACTATTCCTCCCACTGACACCAACGATGGGGCACTATACTTCCCTCTGATACCAACGATGGGGCACTATTCCTCCCACTGACACCAATGTTGGGGCACTATTGCTCCCCCTGATGCCAACGATGGGGCACTATTCCTCCCACTGACACCAGTGATGGGGCACTTTTCCTCCCACTGACACCAGTGATGGGACACTATTCCTCCCACTGACACCAGTGATGGGACACTATTCCTCCCACTGACACCAGTGATGGGGCACTATTCCTCCCACTGACACCAATGATGGGGCACTATTCCCCCCACTGACACCAATGATGGGGCACTATTCCCCCCACTGACACCAATGATGGGGCACTATTCCCCCCACTGACACCAATGATGGGGCACTATTCCCCCCACTGACACCAATGATGGGGCACTATTCCCCCCACTGACACCAATGATGGGGCACTATTCCCCCCACTGACACCAATGATGGGGCACTATTCCCCCCACTGACACCAATGATGGGGCACTATTCCCCCCACTGACACCAATGATGGGGCACTATTCCCCCCACTGACACCAATGATGGGGCACTATTCCCCCCACTGACACCAATGATGGGGCACTATTCCCCCCACTGACACCTATGATGGGGCACTATTCCTCCCATTGACACCAACGATGGGGCACTATTCCTCCCCCCACTGACACCAACGATGGGGCACTATTCCTCCCCCCACTGACACCAACGATGGGGCACTATTCCTCCCACTGACACCAACGATGGGGCACTATTCCTCCCACTGACACCAACGATGGGGCACTATACTTCCCTCTGATACCAACGATGGGGCACTATTCCTCCCACTGACACCAATGTTGGGGCACTATTGCTCCCCCTGATGCCAACGATGGGGCACTATTCCTCCCACTGACACCAACGATGGGGGCACTATTCCTCCCACTGATACCAATGATGGGGCACTATTCCTTCCACTGACACCAATGATGGGGCACTATTCCTCCCACTGACACCAATAATGGGGCCGTATTCCCCCCACTGACACCAATGATGGGGCACTATTCCTCCCACTGACACCAATGATGGGGCACTTTTCCTCCCACTGACACCAGTGATGGGACGCTATTCCTCCCACTGACACCAGTGATGGGGCACTATTCCTCCCACTGACACCAATGATGGGGCACTATTCCCCCCACTGACACCTATGATGGGGCACTATTCCCCCCACTGACACCTATGATGGGGCACTATTCCTACCACTGACACCAATGATGGGGCACTATTCCTACCACTGATACCAGTGATGGGGCACTATTCCTCCCATTGACATCAGTGATGGGGCACTATTCCTCCCACTGACACCAATGATGAGGCACTATTCCTCCCACTGCAAAATTACAGTTATGAAGTAGCAACGAAAATAATTTTATGGTTGGGGGTCACCACAACATGAGGAACTGTATTAAGGGGTCGCGGCATTAGAAAGGTTGAGAACCACTGCTCTAAAGGAACGACGTACCCGTGGTGTTCCTTCAGAGCTGCTTGCCATGGAACTCCCGCACGCATACACGGGAGTGACGTCATTGACGGCTCAGCCTTTCAAGCAACCACAGGCCATGAACCCAAATGGAAGACCGGGTGAAGATGAAAGCCTTCTGCAGCCTTGACAGCTGCTGGATGGCTTTGATATAAGGTGCATTCTAGCACATTATGATACTACCTTGCACAAGGAAACTTTTTGTTTTTCTTTTTTGTAAACAAGTTTACTACCATTTTAAAGAGTCTGACAAAAGATCAAATTCAGGTACATAGACTGCTTGCATTTAAAGTGGTATTAAACCCAAAAGCAAACATCGATTATATTGCAGCTTGACAATTCATAGATGAGGTGGTTGCATTATTTATTTTTAGACTTTCTTTCTTTTACATTCAGCAGGTGATTCTTCCAGTAAGTCTGTTGTTTTTCAACAGAACAAGCTGTCCTGCAGATGTAGCAGTTTAAAGTGTAGAAACAAACCATTAACCACTGGCAGGGGTGCTCACAATGCTTACAATCAGCGTTTACATAAAACCTTTATCACAAAAGAGAAAAATGTTTGCTACACCTGCTTGTGTAAATGCATGAGCTGGAGGTTTTGCTTCAATTTGTTAGTACACCTAAATCTGCTAGATATATATAACACACTCCTCCCCCAGACTGACAATGCTGCTGTCCAAAGGTGCCCCCTGTACTCTCTCATCCTTAGTGGTGTCACTTAATACAGGATGTGTGTTACGGGCCAGATCAACAGGTGAAAACCGAAGGGAAAAATCCTAAAAAAGAAAACAAATGCAGCCACCACATCTAAGGATTAGGAAGCGGCAATATATTTTACATTTTGGGTTTAGCACTTCACTAAGAAATACATTTAGAGATGTGTTAATGATTATAGAGCTTTATTAATTGTGTCTTTTTATATCTGCCTTGAGTACAGCTTTAAAAGTTGCCTTTTATAACAAGCATCCAATAGAATTTCAAACATATATTCTATGCCCAGCTTTATACCTAAAAGCCTAAGGTAGGAGTCCACAGCACAGCAACCTTTGGAGCTGTCTAAACAATTGTAAGCACTTGCATAAGTTCAAAATACATTCACAGGGTGTCTAAATTCAAAAACTAAATTAAAATATATATTGCAGCATATCTGTACTAATGATGTAGTGGAGGAAATCATTTTCTTTTTAACAAAATCATTGTTAGGGTTTACATAACATTTAGGTAGAGCAACAGTGGTGAGAAGACAATCATAACTAGTTATGATAACCATCAATCCAGGGACTGAAATTTCAGTTCTTATATTATTAAAATGATGTTTTAAGCAAATGAGCTATTCAGAGCAGTGAGTGCTGCACTTCAATGTATTGGAAGAAAGGACCTGAAACACTTCATCTACGTAAGTACAATCTTACAACTGTTTAGAAATGCAGTAATAAAAGGAATCATGAAAGTGGTGAATTACTAATGTACTAATAGTGTGTGGTTTCTTTAATCCATTTTTGTGTAATTTATTAGTATTTGAATATGGCCAATCTGATAAACAAAAAAAAAAAAAGCTGAACAAAACGCAAAGTTGTGGCACAATCACTGCAAAAAAGAGTGTAGAGAAACACAAAACAAACTGCGAAAAGCACTGGAAAATGGACAAAAAGCTAACTGCATAGGTGTGAATGGAGCCTTAACTGATTCCGCACTGCCCTATAGCAGAAATACTGCTACAGGGTGGCACGGGTGCCATATAGATACGTGATAGCCGTGCCGCCATTTGTGACCTCAGCTGTCAATCACCAGGTCCCAGCTGGTGATCACCAAGTATCTCTGATGGGGACAGACCTGTGTATAAACAACACAGATTTTTCCCCTGTCAGCTCCTGCTCACTGCTTTGTATGCAGAGCCATATAAAGCAGTGCGCTTACAGCGAAGCACACACACAGACAGCATAGTGAAACAGCACACAGTTAACCCTTTGATCACCCCAGATGTTAACCCTTTCCTGCTCACTTCCATTAGTACAGTGTCAGTGCTTTTTATTAGCACTGATCACTGTATTGGTGTCACTGGGGATGTCAGTGACACCAAGTCAGTTTCTCCCAGTGTCATAATGGTCGCCGCAGTCCCACTATAAGTAGCTGATTGCCGCCATTACTAGTAAAAAAAATAAATAAAATTCCAGTGTCTATACCGACATTTGTAAATGCTATAACTGTCACGTAAACCAATTTCCACGTATTGGGATTTTTTTTTTAGCAAAGACATGTAGCAGAATACATTTTTATTTATTTTTTTTTATTTTTACTGGACATGTTTAATAGCATAAAAGTCGAAAATATTGTTTTTTTTTTTTTTCTCTCAAAATTGTTGGGGTTTTTTTGTGTATAGCACAAAAAATAAAACCGCACAGGTGATCAAATACCACCGAAAGAAAGCTCTATTTGTGGGGAACAAAAGGATGTAAATTTCATTTGGGTGCAGCGTTGCATGATCAGTTGCATTGTCAGTTAAAGAAACACAGCGCCATATCGCAAAAAATGGCCTGGTCAGGAAGGGGGGTGAATCCTCTGGAGGGCAAGTGGTTAAAGTCAACCTGTTGCATTAGCAAAGTACAGGTTCACTTTTTGTTTAAATAACTCTTTATAACTGGCCCCACTGCTAATTAATGTGAGATTGAAGAGGGTCATTCTGGTCAAAATATAAACTTGGTAAGGACCCTTTTTTAAGTTTGGCACCCAATTATGAATGGTTTACTGCCAGTGAACATGTTGTTTTATTCATGGTTGTATGTGTGGCTAATTGTGCATTCTTTACAAGTCTAAGCAGTTTTATGTAAAGCGCCTTCAAAGGACCTTGGGCTCAATTTAATTAAAATTGCGTTTGATCTGTATTTTGTTATTTATACAGTTTTTGGTATTGAAAGATTGCTGTAGTCAATAAACTGTATTCTTGTGTCATCTGTGGATATTCTAGTCAATTCTAGTTTGTTGGTATAGGTCAATGTGGACAGGACTCAGAACTGCTTCCCTCCCCATGCAAGTCTACAGCCTGGTACACATGGTAACTTTTTTTCCCT